TCCTGATTTCAACTTAATTGAGAAGGTGTTTTATATATTCTCTCAGTGCTGCTGTATGGTCAGACCTGATATACTGTCTTGTTCCTTCTTACTTTGATTTCAGTTTGAGAATCTCTATCGCTTCAGCTTTTCATGCTAGAAAGACTTTGATAAGTTTTTTTTTAGTTTGGTCGAACCTACCCAATCTAAGCACCTTGATATCGGTCAATGTAACCTTAGTACCACGGTACGCGAACTTGTATTGAACGATCCTGGCCACTTTTAATGTGCCCCAAGCCGCTCAGGGGGCCAGCATGTTCATCGCTGGTAATCGATTTTGGTGAACGCCTTTGAATGTTGACGCTATCAGCTGTCATACTGGTCGGTCGGTTCTCAAACAATTTTTAGTTTGTCAAACTTATAAATAATTTTCATTAGTTGTAGTGTTTTTACTTCTACCCAGTTTTAGTTCAGGTAAGTTTTATCTTTATCATGGTGTCAATCCCATTGGTGATGAAATTGATGTGAAGACAAACAGAAAAAGTTCAATTATTTATAAGTCTGTTTTTTTTTTAAAGAGAATTTCATACATCTGCCAAAACTGGTATTCCAACAATAAATTGACATGTTTTCATTGTTGATTTGAACCAATCAGATTGGAATTACGCGATAATTTGCACTAGTGCAATTAAATTTTGAATTTATGAAATTCTCTCATTAAATACGACTCGTACAATGGAAATATATTTATAATTTTCGACAAATTTGCACTCATACGTTTTTAACTGAAAAAGGCACTCGTGCACTACGTGCACTCGTGCTCTTTTTCAACTAAAAATGCATTCGGGCAAATTTCCCAAAAATTATCAATAATTTCCATTGCACTCGTTATATTACTATTGATAATTCCCCAAGTCAAAAATTTAGTAACTATGTTGGCAACACAAGCCTTTTCTACATAAAAAATTTAAAGCATTGACAATTTTACATTGTATTGCCAACATAATGTCATTTTGACTTTTATCTTTAAAAAAAAACAGATTTTATGTACCTGAATAAAAATATAAGTCCAACGATTGACAGATACGAGTTTTATTTTTCTATCTTATCCAAAAAACGTTTTTGACGTTGACTGGATCAGTCTTGGTTATTACATATTATATTTATTTCTAATAATGAGGGATAAATATAATAACTAATGTTAAATCTGATCAAGGCCTAATAAGGTCATCCATAAAGAAAGTTTCAAATTCAAATATCCCGCAAAAATCATTTTACTTTGACCCAAGCCTATAGAGGCGCCACATATATAAACTTTTTTCTTCACATGGGAGTTACCATTCTATATCCCCACTTAAACCTTATTCTATGCTTAGTACCAGTAACTCCAATTATTTATTTAACAGTGTCAACTGCCTTGGTTCTGTCATCATAGTTTTCTGCCTTGGATTCATCCATTCCAAAGAAAAGATTGTTACTTGCCCGTTTTTCCCTTTCCAAAATTTCGGATATTGTTACTTTAATTCCTGTATTATGTTGTTTTATATTTATTGATTCTTACTCTCGGGTTTCTTATTTAAATTGCTCGATATTATTTTGGGTTTCTTTCAGCCAGTTTTCTAGTTTGCTTTGTTTTTTCAAAAAGGGTTTTTAGGTTTTTGAATGGCTTCAATTCAATAACAACTGTTTCAAGATTGACTACTAGGTACTTTGCATTTTAAACTTTTAATATCTGAGTCTACTTCTCTTTTCATAGCAGGAAATTCTCTGAAAGTGATACCACACATCGAATCTAGTCCGCCCATTGGCAAGAGCGTTCATGTAAAAATAAAGGCCACAGCGCAAATAACAATCAGAGGTAACCGAACCAAGAAAGTCAAAAAATTTCACTTTTAAAAACTATGAACATGTTACTACTACATAGGAAACCACATGTCAAACATGCAACCAACAGTAAGAGACTGTCAAACTTTTCAGGACGCCATTATCAGTACAACAGAAACATTTTTCCCAGAAAGGACGTGCAGAATCAACAGCCAAAAACCTTGGTTGAATCAAAGAATCTTCAAAGAAATCGACAAAAAGAGAAATATATGGAACAAATATATAAAACAGAAAACAAATGAGAACTACAGCCTGTACAAGACACAAAACAACAATCGCAAGCACGTAATATCAGAATCAAGAAACAATTAGAAGAAAACCTCCTTGAAAAAGGCGAAAAACACTTGTTTTCCCATATCAAAAATAATTTAAATAGCCGTCTACATGACCTAGTTCTTAAAAATACTGTAGTAGTAGTAGTAGTCTTACAAGATCCCAAAGAAATAGCAAACGTATTTGCGGAAAAATTCTGCTCTGTCTTCACCAGAGAAAATCTAAATAGTTTTCCATGCCTTCCAATTGAAACCAAAAACCCAAATGAACCAGATCTAATCAACTTCACTACAGAGAAGGTTAATGCAGCTCTACCTAAAAACCTACTCTAGCCCAGGACCTGGAGGAATACCGGCAGTATTTTTGAAAAAATGTGCCCACGTGTTATCGCCGTTGCTAACCAAGCTCTTCCAAAACTCAATCAACGAGGGTACCCTACCTGATATCTGGAAGCAAGCGATTATCATCCCAATTTACAAGGGTGGAGATAAAAACGACCCCGCCAACTACCGGCTAATCAGCCTTATATGCACCTTATGCAAAGTAATGGAAAAAATTCTAGCCAAGGAAACTACAGCATTCGTACTAGAAAACAGCATAACTCCAGCATCACAGCACGGCTTTTTACCAAAGAGATCGACCACGACCAATCTGATCTTCTGTGTTGACAAATGGGTCTAGAACTCGTTGACAAATGGGTCCAGAACTTTGGACGAAAGAAAACTGGTAGATGTAATTTACCTTGATTTCCAAAAAGCCTTTGATACAGTTCCACACAAACTGAATCATTTTGGAATAAGAGAGACCTATTTACGGCGGAGCAAATCCTTTCTAAAGCATAGAGAATTCCATGTCATTCAGTTATCAACGGAGTTTCTCAAGGCTCGGTGTTGGCCTCACTGTTCTTTATAATTTACATCTCGGATTAAACTCCCCTTATTGAAACAAACGTCAAGTAATTCGCAGACGACAAAAAACTTCACTGCAACCCACTAACGTCCAGCATTTTAAAAATTACATAAACACCATACAAACGTGGACAAACACCTGGCAGCTAAAGTTAAATGAAAGTAAGTGTACAGTCCTACATATTGGTTGAAATAACCCAAAAAACCACTACCAAATAAACAATGTTGAGCTAAGGGGAGTATCAAAACACAAAAACCATGGTGTTTACATCACAAATGATCTCAAAAATGGGAAACACATGTACCTATCTAAAACTGGTAAAAAAAGTCAATCAACTTATTTACCTAATGAAACAAGCATTCGAAAACAAGTCCATTAACATTATTAAAAATCTGTAGGTACATAACTTACGTCGTCAGACCAAGACTGGAATATGGCTACAAATTATGGAGCCCTCACTATAATAAGGACATTGAACCTCTGGAACGCGTCTAACCCAGAATAACCAAAATTCAATCGGAACTTTGCAACGTAGGTACCATATGAATGGAGACTACAGAGATTTAACCTCACAACATTGAAGAAAAGAAGAGAAAGAGGGGACCTTATTGAAACCTTTAAAATTCTTAATGCTTACTACTCTCCAGTGCTAGGAATGGAAGAAATGTTTCTTCACATTCCAAACAATCTCAGAGGATCATCAAAAGCTGAAAAAGGAAAAAACTGCTCTTCTCGGAAGGAAAAACTTTTTAACTAATAGAGTGGTATGCAAATGGGACTCACTGAGTGCGAAAACTATAAGTGCATCTACCAAAAATAGTTTCAAATCCAAACTAGATAAAAATTTAACAAGCCTCCTCAACACACTAGTATATACACTACCTGTAACGAAAAAGTGATAACAGAATCAAATTTTTTAGAGACTACTTGTCGAACAATGACAAGCAATTACCTCATCGGTGTCTCACTGCTTCCTATTGCTCAATGGATAATAATAATAATAAGGTTGGAAACAAGATTAGCAGACATATGAAATAACTCTTTACGCATGATTCACATGAACACATTTTACCATAGAATTTGGGCAGATTTCATTCCTTGCTTTTTGAGGTGCATTTTATTTTTCATTTAGTGCATGTCAGGCTTCCCATTCTTAATAAATCAATGGTAAATATTTAAATTTGAATGGATTTCAAATAGCAATTACACGTGAAAATATTTGGTTTTTGTGGAATATCGTTGAAGAACTCATGGCTCATTTCTGATTCTGTGTTAAGTAGTTTCTTCCAACAATAATCGAAGAACTGTCTTTGAGCAGTCTTGTGTCATATTTGGATCGTAAGGGATTCAGCCCTTAAGTGGTTAGTCCATATACCATCTTAGCAGCCTGAAAGAAGGCCGGTGCTGTTGGATTCAGCTAGTTGCTGCATTTCGTTTACTTTTGTTATCCACCATTGGTTCTTTAATTCTCGCGTTTTCCTGTGAATTTCTGCTTTCGCTTGGGCTTGAGAGTTTGCTCTGATACGATCCTCTTGAAGGCATTCTATGTTAAGCTTGCGTGAATTGCCTTTTTTGACATCTACTTTTTGGTGGGATGCGCAAATTCATTCTGGCTCGTATCAGCCGATGGTCAGTCCAGCAGTCATCTGCACTTGTTAAAGCTCTCGTAATGCCTACATCATTACAGACTTTAGAACGTACAATTATATAGCTAATTGATTAAATAGAACTGTTTCGACCTAGGGTGTTAAATTTATTCTTTTATCGAAAAAGTGTATTCGTTATTATCAAATCAAATCATGCTGAACGTTAAGCCGCAGTGCCATCAGTCTTTCGCATATTCCATATAGAAGGTCAGCAAGATGTTCCATGCATTCATTTTTTATGACGAAACCCAGTTGTCTGTTTTCGCTTAGAGCTGCAATATCAATGTTAATTCTCTTGTTTTCCATAAGGTGGTGCTGAAGGTTCATCAACGTCCTCGGAATCACCTCCTTCGGGCAGCGTCGGCCGCAAGCCTTACAATGCTCGCAAAGGCAAAGGTAAAGCCGGAAATAAAGGTACCAGACACGTCCGCTCCTCAAGCGGCTACTCAAGTCACAACGACGAGACCACGTTCAGTATATCACACGCACCGAGTTTCAACGAAAGGATTCATCCGCCCACGAGGTAGGCTTACACTTTGATATAATTTGTATTACATTTGATTTTTGTGTATCTATAGGTTTTCTGACGTAAGCCTAAGAGACTTTTCCGAAGGCGATTACGAAAAAGGTCACAAAACGCGAGGAATGTCCAAACTCACCAGGGAAGCTTTCCAAATAAATGTGTAACATAGTTTTACAGTTTAGAGACCTTATAGAAAATTCATTTTTAATTTTTTATAAGAATTTGTAATTAAAAATTCAACAGGAGGCTAACTTATGAAAGAATGTGCAAATATGCATAATATTTCCCTAAACATGGAATATTTTGTATAAAAAAATCGGCTGGTGCCTTTAAGATACGACTTAAACTAAAGAAATTTTATGGATAATCTGAATTGGAGAGAAAATAGGGCTTCCCACAGAACAAGGGCGTGCCAAATAACAAATTAGAAGATTGATATTTGTAAAATATATAGGGCATTATTGAAATGTATTTTATAGAATGTTATATTATCTGTTTTGTTTTTTTCAATGCAATTTTTGAGATATGTAGAAGGAAGTGATATCATACAATATGGAGGAATTTAGGTATATTGAATTTCAATTTCTACTTCTCATAAATTATTGCAAGGATGTACAGTTTGACGGCGATATCCTGAACTGTTTTCTACGAGGCATGAGTAGAAAAAACGAAGATAAAGCAGTCAAATTGTAAACAAATTTCTCCATAATTTATATATTTCCTAGTTAATATTGTCAAATAATATGCAAATCTGGATAGTATGAAAGAAAGTCTTGTAAAACCGTTTTTATTTTCCCTAATTTTTAATTTTTATATGAACTGTAGAGGATAACAATTAATTTATACTCCAATTTTTGTACCATATTTATAGATAATGTTGTAAAGAGGTGTTTATATCACAAATAATAAACATTTAGGCGTTGGGAAGAATGTGAAACTTAAATTTTTACGCACCCCAAAAATTGGTCATAAAAACCAAGGATCTGCATCTTCCCAACAAAAAAATTTACTAAAAAAAAAAATAGCGTGTGTCTTAATGTGTCGAAAATTAAATTCACTTTAGATAATATCATGGATTCGCATTTAAAAAAAAAAATCACGTTTTTCACCCCTCTATTTGCTATACAACACCACTATCGACTCCTAAAAAAAAACAAAATGACTGTCTTATTTGGATAGCTAAAACTATTCTTTTTATTATTATATTAAAAATTGTTAAATGTAAGAAAAATAAATAACATGTTAGTTAAAAAAAAAATGTGAAGTTTTATTAAATTAATTTGTGTGAAAGTTTTTGAATTTATTTATTTTTTTGATCAAACTCACATAGTAAAATCATAAGGTTCAAAATCCGTTCGAATTTTCTGAACCAGCTCTTCCTCTTTACTTTTGTCCAAAAGACACTCCTTATATTCAACCCGATTTGGCATATTGAGCACTGGTCCCGATGCGATTACTTCACGGCCAAAACTCAATGGAAAATTGATTGAATTTTGAATTTTTGTATAAAGAATTTGCTTGTCTGGAAGTTCAACCATGAAAAATGGCGTTTTGGGGGGAATTACTTGATCTAATCTGTTATTTGAGTCAAGGGACTCCAATTGGAAGCCTTGGGCTTCAGATTCATCCTGCAACAATTAAAAAAACATAATTATAAGATTATTTGGAAGTTTGGAGCATTTACCAGAAAAATATCCTTTAATTCCCTTGTTGCTTTTTTGGGTATTGGAATCGCCTGCAACTGCATGTGTGACGTTTTATAATTTCTCTCAAAAAAAACAGGAAGGTGATCTCTTCTATCATAAAATTTATGCAAGGCTTCCTTGAACTGTTCCATTTCTTGTTGAATTTCTTCAGTACATGCTAGGCTGCTTTGAAAATGTTCCATTGGGCAAATTAGGAAATGTTCATCTACTATTGCGCCTAAAAAAAATTCCCAATAGAAATGTTTGATTTTTCTAAAAAAACGCCACTTACCCTTAGCCAAAGCAAGATAACAATAATTTCCAACTGTAATAACCAAATGCTTCTCAACGGACGGACTAGCAAGGCAAAACCAACATTTACTTTGATCAAATTCCATGCGGGGCTTTTTAGTTCTTTGCTTTTTTTTGTCATCTTCCATTGGAGCGTTCATATCGTAAAAGTACTGATTAGAACCACCAGTTTTTCGCTTCTTATTACCGAGTACTATAAAAATAATAATAATAAAAACCCAGAATTTTACTCACCTATAACAAAATTTTTACCTTTACTTTCTAGTTCGTCAAAGTTAAAAGGACATATCGTTTCGTCTGTTGATTTTTGCAACAATTCAGATATTTTCATTTTGTCCAAAGGTGTAGCATTCAGTGCGTAAAGCCATTTTTGTTTATTTGAATTACCTACACGAGCAAGACCAATAAATCTAGTAGTTGATTCCAAAGTTGTATCGTGATCGCCCAAATTTGGACACCTAAATGGAGTTCTCTCGTAGGAAACACCTTCTAGACCGCTGATGACGTATCTTGGTTTCAGTTTCATACATAAATAGCTCACTAGATCGCTTTGTAGGTTTAGAGTGAGATTAATCTAAAAAATAATAATTATACGTTTATGAATTCAAACCCAGACTTTTTTGTTAAACATGAAAAGTCGTTTTTTACTTTTTTGTCATCAATAATCCCACTAGGCCACTGTGAAGTAAGTAAAATGTCCACACCCCTAAACGCTGCATTGCCCTTCAAAGCTGCATCGCATAAATCAGAAACATCTTTTTCGTTGTGAGTCCAAATATCGGTTTTATCAGTACTCGCTATGCCACTCAGATATGCTATTCTCAGTCCTTTACTGTCACTGTAAATACCTCTTTTTCCTTTAACAAACATTGTTAGAGAATAAAATGTTTTTGAAAGTGTTAATTTACCCAAATAATATACATTTGAACATAATTCAAATTGAGATTCGTCTGGGGGATATTCTTTTACTTGGTCTTCTTTGTTGGGGCCTAAGATATAAGTTGGTACTGGAACTGAAAAAAAAGCATGTTGTATACTACTTTTTAAAAAAAGTTGCTCCTAACATTAAAGTTCCTAGTATGCAATTATAATATGTACTATAATAAAGTCAATAATCACTACGAAGCTTTGCTTTTGTCATCACTCTACCTTTTTTATCTCCAAGTCTGTATGGTAAAAATTCCTTATTATTGATGCCGAAAAAGTTGCCAACACATAATAATGAATCGAATGGTCCAGACTTGTTGTTTATTGATGTTACTCGCTTGAACAGAGTATCGAATTTGCCTTCTACATCTCCACAAAGTAATCTGGAAAAAATAGATCTCTCAAATAAATAGATATTCAAATGATTATCGAGGAAGTTACAAGAAATGAGTGCATACCTACTTACTTAGGTGGAAGTTAAAATTAAATCTAATGATAATTTTACAATAGGGTCGTTCAGTGAAGTTTCATTAACCCCGTTTTTTGATATTTTTTTGGAGTATTACTCACATATAGTACACAAAAAAAAATTCAGCTCAATTGGATAAATATTAAAAAAGTTATGCGGCTTTGAATATTAAAGCATTATGCCTCAGAAATTCATCGCTGAGAGATGCTATGACGTCATCTCTCGAGTCGAGACGGGCTAAAGGCGAGATGCAGTGACGTCACCGTGTCTTTCAAAACTTTCAAATTTCGATCGTTTTGATAATTTATTTAAATATGAACAAATGTAAAAGTTGTAGGTAATATCAGAAAGTTTTCAATGAAGTTATTACCAAATATGGACTGTATATTTGTAACTAACTTCATTGCAAAGTTTATAATATTACCTACAACTTTCACACTTGACATTACTGGGTATCTCTTCAAACAGGTGCAAAATATAGACAATCACCCAATACCTACTTTTTTCAAATAATGGGATTTGGGACTTCCGCCAAATTTAACCAAATTCTAGTATAATATAAATTTGACCTTTCTGATCAATACTTAGCATTAGCTTAGCTTAGTAATGGCCCAACTTCATCCTATGACTAGTTTTTGAGATACAGGTAGTTTAATGTCCAAGAAATGTACACATTTTATATGCATTTACATCTACCTGTTACCTAATAATATACCAGGATGGTCAGGTATCCTCACGCTCATGTGACAGGTAGATGTAAATGCATTAAAATGTGTACAGGGTGGGCATTTTATTAGGGGCCTATGTCTTTTCTCAGAAACTACAGGGTGTACAAAAAAAATATAAATACAAAAGTTTCTTGGTTTTAAGCAATGTTGTCAACTATTTGAGTTTTATTTATACAGGGTGTCCCAAAAGTGATGCACCGACTTCAAAACCAGAATTTTAAATGGAACACCCTGTATATTATTGCATATTTGGATTCTACGTAAAATTCTGAGCAGAATTCATGCAATATACCCTATACCTAAGTTTAACTGTTTTGGAAATATTGACAGTTGAAAATTGACTTTTTGCAACTTTGACAGGCTGTAAAACCTAAACGGTTAATTTTAGATGAAAACCGATTTTACATTCCCGTCTTAGATTTTTATGAACTATCATTTGACACCAACTTTGGATTTAACCAGAGATTAAATTTAACTGGAATTTTTAATTATGGATTAAATTCAAAGTTGGTGTCAAATGATAGTTTATAAAAATCTAAGATAGGAATGTATAATCGGTTTTCGTCTAAAATTAACCGTTTAGGTTTCACAGCCTGTCAAAGTTGCAAAAAGTCAATTTTCAACTGTCAATATTTCCAAAACAGTTGAACTTAGGTATAGGGTATATTACATGAAATCTGCTCAGAATTTTACATAGAATTTAAATATTCAATAACATACAGGGTGTTCCATTTAAAATTTTGGTTTTGAAGTAGGTGCAGCACTTTTGGGACACCCTGTATAAATAAAACTCAAATAATTGACAACATTGCTTAAAACCAAGAAACTTTTGTATTTATATTTTTTTTGTACACCCTGTAGTTTCTGAGAAAAGACATAGGCCCCTAATAAAATGCCCACCCTGTACATTTCTTGGACATTAAACTACGTGTATCTCAAAAACTAGTTATAGGATCAAGTTGGGTCAATGCTAAGTATTGATCAGAAAGGTCAAATTTATATCATACTAGAATTTGGTTAAATTTGGCGGAAGTCCCAAATCCCATAAGAGGTGTGCGGAGTCCTTTGAAGACACCATAAGACAACTCAAAACTTAACCCTTTCGGTCACCTTGTATTCAATTGAATACACAGAATTCAATTTTTTTTTATTGCCATCTATGTAGTAGTTCAATGATGTAGTGACTTTATAATCAATATTTAACCCTTTTGTAATTCAAATATGACTTGTGGCTGCATCTAGATATTATTTCCTAATTTTGACGATTTTTTATAAATTACAGTTCGCTACTATTGCCTAAAAGTCAAAACATCTGTTGTGTAATTTTATTTTTCTTGGAAATAATTTACATATTTTTGCGCGATATACTGATTAGTGACATAAAACATACCATATTTGAGTTATATTATCAGTGGGTTTCCAAAAAAGTTTCTGTTTTTTGTAATAAGCTCAAAAAAGGATTGTATTCAATTGAATACATCGTGACTCAAATTTTCCAGATTTTGATAAAAAGTCATTTGCCTCAAGATGCAAAAATGCTGAATGTAAAGGTCATTCTCGTGTTCTGTGTGTTATTTATTTTTAAAAAGAGGAAATAGCTATTTACCTAACAAGTGCGGAAAAATTCAAAATAATTTTTCCGCACGCGTAGCGGAGTTCGGTGAAGCAGCCGAGAGCGGATTTTTTTTTTCCGTCTGTGTTAGGTACAATATTTTTCCTACAGGCATAAAAATGTAGAATTTTTAATTTTTTTTTGACAGCCGTGCGGTAAAAAATTTTCCGCACTGACAGCCGTGCGGAAAAACTATTTCCGCACTGATATGCGTGCGGTAAAAATCATCACCGTGCGGGAAAACTCATTTTTCGCACGGATATCAGTGCGGAAAATTGATTTGTCCGCACGGCGATATGAGCCGTAAAGTCATAATGTATTCATTTGAATACTTCATCAAGCTCAAAAACCAGCCAACCAAAAAATTTCGCCGTAGGTTCAAAAATCATAAAAAAAATAACTTAGTTACTGTACCAAATATCGGAATTTTCCCATGCACACAAAAAAGTCGTGACTGAAAGGGTTAAGGCGACAAGTGCTGATATGCAGGACAAATATTTAGTTTGCAGTTCATTACTAGGAATGCCAAACAGTTTTGTGAAGGTAATTACAGTTTCAGAGAACAAGGATCCAGATGATTTAACGATTGATGTGGTAAAGTCAAAGCCACGAAATGAAGTAGAAAAGAAAAAATCTATTTTTATCATCGTCACCAAAAGTAACTGGGACAGCATCACATTAGCTCTTGTCCTATTATATGAATTTTATTATCAAATATTTGTCAAACTGAGTCAAATTTGAGTTTACTTAACGTTAAGTGCCGCTTATTTTATAATTTCTTTTCCACCAGTCTAATCTAGTATCATTAAGATAAGCTTAACCCCAGAAATGTCTAGGCTTATTTCTCCCTTAACAAAGTGGCGATGATAAGCGCTCTCAATTTTCTAATTTCGAGTGTAGTTTGCGTTTTTTGTCAAAAAGGATTATAGAAGGGATCCTGAGAGTATTGTTTATTGTTTACAGTTTGGTGTGGTTAAATAATAATAATAATAATAATAATAATAATAATAATAATAATAACGTTTATTATGCATCAAAAGAAATTACATAAAAGGTAACATTCACGTAATGTGTTCTTCCATGCTACCCGAAAAAATAAATAAATAAATAAATACAGAATTCAATGCCTATTCTAAGCTACGCTATTAATTCCAGCAGAGAAGCCTTGTACTTTTTTTAAAGTTTACCAGTGAACCTGAAATCATAAATTCATACACCTCTGTATTAAGTAGTTGTACCGCTCGGTAAGAAAATGAGTTTTAAAACCTTCGGTTATGTGCCGTGGTATTTGAAATCGTATAATGTTTCTCAGACAGCGACTGTGTAGGTCTTGTCTTACTATAAGATATTCTGAGAGATAGGATGGGTAACCAGATTGAAAAATTTTATAAACGAATTGACCAAAGTGCAAGGCTGCTCGCTGTTCATATTTTAGTATCTTATTTTCTACATAGGTTGGCGTAATATGGTCAAATTTTCTAATGCTAAAAATAAATCTCATACAAGCATTTTGAGCTAACTGAATTTTGTTTTTAAATTCAACATTCAGGTAGTTATAGAAGACAACATTGCAATAGTCTAACTGTGACCAAATAAGAGTCTCCACTAACATCAATTTAATGTTGCGAGGTAAATTATCCTTAAACAGGTACAAACTCTTAAGTACAGCATAAACACATGACAATTTTTTGTTGACGTGCACCTGAAAGTTAAGACTTTCGTCAAAAGTCACACCCAGATTTCTTGCTGATTCTGAGTTAGGTAGAGTAGTACCGTTTATGTGCAGTGTAGTGAAATTAAAATGCAAAAATTGACTTCTGACGGCATTAGAGCCCATAATCATATAAGTGCTCTTACTAGCATTTAGAATACCAACCCATGTTGACTTGACCATATAAATATCGAGTCTAAGTCGTCGAATTGTTATTTGAAAACTGGATATGTTCCAACCCGTCGAAAAACCGTCCCAGAACGGTTTCGGAATCACTCTGTATATGAATTTCGGTTTCTGCGCAAAAATTTTAGGCAGAATTTCCTTATGACAGATGAATTTTTATAATATCTTGGTCATTGTCTATTAACCAAGCAAGATATTTACATATGTACTCCCAGAAATAATACAAATAATCACCTAAATTGTCAATAATTTCAAAACATTTGTTTTCTGGACTTCAAAATTCCATCAAACGACTACAAAGCCGAGTGTGGTGGTTAAGGTTTATCAGAAAGATGGTGGTGAAAGGCAAATTTAATTAGGCGCCGCCTAGAGGTTTATTGAGGTGGTTTCACCTACAATAAAGGTTTCAAAAACATAGAGGTAAGTAGTTACAGCAATAATGGAGGTAGAGGCGAGGGTAGAGGTCATCAAAGTAACTACACTAGTTCCAAGGAAAATTCAGATAAAAATTCAATAGGTTTTATGAGTAGTGGAAATATTTCAAAAACTGTAAGTAAGTAAATAAGTGCTGATGAATTTTCATTTTTTATCGACTGCGACTGTATGAATTTGAAAAAAAAAAGCAGTGGCTAAGAATAATAATTGTATGTATGCGGTAGGAGTAGGGAATATAAAACGTTCAACTAAAGTTTATAATAAAGAAGTAGAATGTGTAATAAAAAATGTATCTTATGTGCCAAATTTGGGATATGAAACTTATTATCAGTAAAAAGATTAGAAATGCAAAACATCAGTGTTTATACCCTGGTTTATATCATACCTAATAACAGAATTTTGGTAGGTTTGGGGTATAGGAACAAATAATATGAAATAGTGTTCAAATTAAATAGATACCTACTACCTTAAGAAAGTTTAAATACTGAACTTGAGGATACATTTGTTATTTTAATTTGAACAAATCATTTATCATTTAGAAATAGTAGATAATAATATGGTATTGACAAGGTAGAATTGGGTAAAATTGCTTGCATTGCTATAATTAAAAACCCAGAAAACAATAAAAGAGTGAAGCATAATGACTGAAAGTGTAACTTTGAGTGATAAACTTAAATAACAAAATAATTACACTCCAGAAACAAAAATGTACTTATTGTCAGAAATTTGAATTTTTCGGTACTTCAATCCAAAATTATATAGTTTCCTCGATAGTTTCTCTATATTCTCAGATTCAGAACAATGTCATGTGTATTATAAATAGAGATTTTCAAGATTATAAAAATGAAATTTTCAAAAAAAAAATTTTAGATTCTATAGGCCCATCTTATTTACTGCTATCACAGCTTGTTGATTTTGTCAAATCTAGAGCTAAAATACAGCTCAGATGACAAAGATAGAGTTTTTGAGTACTTTAACTATCAGATTCTATTGAGGATTCTATCATTTGCTCATATTTTCTCTGAGTCTCAGATTTGAGAAGTAACGCTGTGCCTTCTAAATAGATCAATTCCATATTCTCATATTCTAATTATACCTAAATACATTTTTTAAAAAAATAGACATTTTTTTAATTATGGAAGGTAAACAATAAAAATTGGTTGGCGGGAATCTCAAAGCTGTCATTTGTTTGTTGACATTTTGTGTTTGTATTTGGGATTTGGGTGCATGCCATTTTTAGCAAATAGCGGGTTTTGAAACGGTAAAAAAAAAACGTGCAAAAAGTGACCGAGAAAGTACTTTCGTGTTTCCGGAAGAGAATTCGTACATTTTAAGGATTTAAGGGTGAGTTTCACTTACATTTTAATTTTTTCTGCCATAATGCTGTAAGACAAATTTCAAAACGTTTTAAGTACACCTTTAGACGATGAAATTATATATTTTACTTTAATTATCCAATCAAAATAAACAATAAATCAAAATAATGGAAAAATATTAAATAGAGGAATAAATTCCAATCAAAAAGAGTCCAAAGAGATGCGGTTTGGTTATGTATATTTTGTTTGTTTTGATTTTTATTATGACGTTTATTGACATGACAGGTCATCTGGGGTGCGTTCAGTATCGTAAAAGTTGTATTCCTAGCCGCTTTCCAGTAGAGCACCTCGGGGGCGCCACGCACTAGATTTGTACCGTTCCAGTATCATGGTGTGAGACGCCCGTCTTAAGCCTAGTACTCATATCTGCGAAATTCGCATTTTTTTGACATTGCGTTGACAATTTGACGTTTTATGCGTGTATCAAACGTCAAATTGTCAAAGCAATGTCAAAAAAATGCGAATTTCGCAGTTATGAGTACTAGGCTTTAAGGCGGGTATTATAAAACTGCTTTGAGAGTTACCTTAAAGTTAACTTCTGAAAATATATGTAATTCAAAAAGTTAACTTCAAGTTAACTGTCAAAGCAGTTTTATAATACCCGCCCTTAGTGTCAAATATGTCAAATTTTAAAAATAATTATCTGTTTGTTAGTGCAGTTTGTTTTTTTATTTATCAAAAATGAAAGAGAATCAAAACTATATTTTTTAAAATGTTCAATCTTGAGATATAACAAGAAATAAAAAGATAAATAGCCACCGACGGATGTGACAGCTGATAGGTTGACGCGTACGGACAGCTCGGGAGCTCAACGCCCCGAGTAGCTCCGGGCGTTACACTCCCATACTGGAAAGCGGCTCCTTTTAAACCTAGGAGGAGCTCCGGAACAGCTCCGGGGCTTCACGTGCTTATTCCTTTCGAAAAGTGTTTGTTGCATCACGCATCTATTCCCTGCAAATCGGGGGCTACTAAACACCGGAGCGAGTAGCTCGAGTGTTTCAAACTCTTGAAAGGAATACAACTATAGTTGTATTCCTTTCAAGAGTTCAGAACCCTAGAGCTAATCGCTCCGGTGTTAGTCGACCCCGATTTGAAAGGAACAGATGCGCTGGATTTCGTGCATTTGAATGGTATGATTCGGGCTTGAGCACTCAGGGGCCTTCCCCTGGACCGGAACGATATTGGACCGAAAACCGGAACGAAACTGTTTTTTTTTTTGCGGACCGGAACCGGAACGAAACCCATATTTCATAGAAATATTGTAGGGCAGGCAGAACCGGAACCGATATAAATTAATTGGTTCTTATCGGTATTTTTCGGTTCCAAGATTTTATAAATTAAGCTGTTTGCTGTTTGGTTGTATCATAATAAAATTAACACTTTAAAAAACGGAGCGTTGGACATTGGACAGCGCGCATTTCTGAACTCGGCTAGGCTACACACCAAGGATTTTACATACTACTACAGGGTTGCTCATCGATTTTTGGAATCAAGTTCATATGTTGTTGAACCCTTGCGACGTCATCAACGGTCTCGTTAGCGATTTGCGTTCGTAGTTAAAAATATACATGTATGATGAAAAATATAATTTAAACTTGATTAACAAATAGTCAATAGACAAGAGGAAGATGCAAATGAGATCTAAACAAGAGTTGTTTTAGAATATTAAATAATGTACTATGGTTCTGAACCGTTTCGAAATACAATCCAATCCACGTTTTAAAACCATTTCTCGTGCCGAGAAATTATGACGTCATTGTGAACCTGATTTAAACCAGTTTTGGAAAAGGTTTCAAAAGTTTGAGACGCGAGAAAACACCTCCTAATCCGTGGTGCAACTGGTGCAAGCACTACGTCAAGGCGAGAAACGACACGCTGTTACGTCATCACTGATCGAAAACACAAACCACAAATTATAGAGAAATATAAATTTTTCTGTAATGACCGTTTTAAGGGATGCTTCTTGAAATGGTCAGTGCAAATGGCCATTAGATATTTGTGAAAAACTATACCGGTATGAACCGTTAAAACCGAAATTATTGGTCCGAACCGAATCAAAATATTTCTCTTAGAACCGAAACCGTAACGGAACCGATATTCGTCATGACGCTGTGGACCGGAACCGGAACGGAACCGATATTTCATTTTGGTCCGGGTCCCTGCTCAGGGGCAACAAACAGCTTTCGAAAAGCGCGTAACGCCCCGAAGCTGTTCCGAAGCTCCTCCTAGGTGTGAAAGAAATACAACTTTTGTTTGTAATAGTTGTTTGCAAGGATGGGCATCCACGCGTAAATAAAGATTGTCTACGTTCGTGTAAACAAACAACACGTAGAAAATGTTATCTATGTAATCTATGTAGACAACGTGTAAAATATAGCCGCTTTCCAGCTGTGTGCTTCAAGCATGTTGCAGCACAGTGTTCTGTGTTTAAAACGCAAAAGTTAGCAGCTCTCGAAGCGCAGTATGGCTGGAACACGAACACGCGCTTGAAGCATTTACGCGCACGAAAGCTCGATTGCGTGCTCAAAAGCGTCAGCTGGAAAGCGGCTAAGGAAGTAGTTTTATAATATACTCGCCCTCAAGTAGACATTGAATGACACATTAAAAAAGGGTTTGTGTGCCTCTTGGCGGCCATTTTAATTCAAGTTTGACAGCATCTTGGATAGTTCAATAGTCAGGCCTTTAAGGTTATGTTTCTGTTTTAGCTTGGTTTTGTTTTTTGCTTAGTGAAGTTAATTGAACTACAGAATGTCTGATTAAGGGCGGGTATTATAAAACTATTTTGAAGTTAACTTGGAAGTTAACTTCTGGAATGACGTTACTTTCCAAAATATTCCCACAAAGTTAACTTTTTGCTATCTGTCGATATAGTTTTATAATACCCGCCCTTAAAACAATATAAATTTATTGCAATGCAAACTTCCAAAAAAATAACTCAAATTTCAAATTTTCCGTTGTCTACACTGTAGTCTACATTGTCTACATAGTTGACATATGGCTATTTGCACCGCTATCACTTAAGGGATATTTAATCTAAGTGGAGCTTTGACTGTGACTTTTGTTTCTACAAGAGTCACATTCAAAGCTCCACTTAGAATAATTATTCCTTAAGTTACAGCGGTGCAAATAGTCGATAGTCTACATGGAAAAAAGTGGATGTAAACAATATGTAGATAACGAGTAGACAAACCGCGTAAAGTAGATTTCATAGTCCCGGCACATCCCTGGTTGTTTGTATTCCTTTCAAGAGTTTAGAAGACTAGACCTACTCGATCCTAGTTTGAAAGGAACGATGCGCTGGCTTTCGTGCATTAAAATGGTAGTTCGGACTTGAGCACTTTAGAGGCCCGATTCTCGTATCAAGGAGAGGAGAGCTCCCCGAGAAAAAAAATTTTCCGTCTTTATCATTCTCGTTCACTTTTCGATTACGTTGACAAGAACAAAAAATTCGTTCTCTCCTTTTCCTGAGACGAGAATCGGGCCCCAGGTGCAACAACAATTACTAGGTCTATTTCTGCAGAAATCACAAACCATTCAGAGTAAATTTCATTGGTTGACTGTTTTCAACCAATGAAATTCGCTCTGAACGGTTTATGATTTCTGCAGAAACAGACCTATATTGTATTCCTTTTATACATCGAGTTACACTGAACGTGTCGCTCTAAAGCTCCTCCGAGTCACTCCAAAACATAAAATTTAGATATTATCTATTCTCTAATTGCCGCTTTCCAGCTGTGTGCTTCAAGCACGGTGCAGCACAGTGTTCTGTGTTGCGCAGTACGGCTGGAACACGAATATGCGCTTCAAGCATTTGCGCGCGCAAAAGCTCGATTCCGTGCTCAAAAGCGTCAGCTGGAAAGCGGCTATTATCAGCATTATCTGAAGTGCTTTCCAGTGACCCATTTGAGTTACTCCTGAGCAGCTCAGGAGTGCTCCACAATTACTTTGCGCGTTCCAGTGCTTAGAGCTTCGTACACTTGAACTACTCATTTCTGTTATTCCCTGCCCTCTCATACACCAACATTTATTTCGATGTTTCATGCTGCTGACGTCCGAAATGGTGGTGGCTAAAGCGTAGTACTCATGACAGCGAAATTCGCTTTTTTTGTCATTGGGTACATTCAGGCGGTCCCAGCGGCTTAGCTCAGCCTCTCAGCAGGAACTTTATTCTCGAAACCAAGGAACAGCGTTCTCATAAGAACGATTATTTGTTATTGTCAGTGTTATGCCGGACAACAAAGACAGAATCTTCGTTCCAATGAGAACGCTGTTCCTTAGTTTCGAGAATAAAGTTCCTGCTGAGAGGCTGAGCTAAGCCGCTGGGACCGCCTGAATGTACCCATTAGGCAATTCAATCCATCTGTCAAAAAGAAAAATTCAATGTGGCGTGGCGGCCAAGCAAGCTTGTTTTGAATATGTTTTTATGCGTATTTTAAATGATTTTGCATAGAGTTTTGCTTACAACTTTGATTTTCATTATTTAATAAAATATTTGTTAACTAGGTACCTTAATTATTAATTAGGGCAGAAACTAGATATTTTTTTGTGTTTTTTGGCCCATGTGTGGCCGCCACGCCATCTTGAATGTCACGTGGTTTGAATTGCCTAATTAGGCAATTCAATCCATCTGTCAAAACGGAAAATTCAATGTGGCGTGGCGGCCAAGCAAGTTTGTTTTGGATATGTTTTTATGCGTATTTTAAATTATTTTGCATACAGTTTTGCTTACAATTTTGATTTTCATTATTTAATAAAATATTTGTTGACTTAGGTACCTGAACTATTAATTCCGGCAGAAACTAGATATTTTTTTGTGTTTTTTGGCCCATGTGTGGCCGCCACGCCATCTTGAATGTCAAGTGGTTTGAATTGCCTAATTGCTTCAAGAATTTGACGTTTTATGCGCGAATCGAATGTCAAATTGTCGAAGCAATGTCAAAAAAGAAAGCGAATTTCGCGGTTATGAATACTAGGCTTGAAACGAGAGCATTCCAGTGCTGCTTATGTCGAACAGTTCAAGAGCGTCACACTCCAGGAGCATGATACTCTAACAATTTTGGCACTGGATTGGGCCTCTTGCAACCACCGCAAATTTGGTGCATCAGCGAAAAGGGGGATGCACTATGAATGAGCACAGTGCTATGAGTGACTCGAGTGCTAAACTTACTTTT